CCTGGGCCTTCGACATATTGTGGTAGGGTGGCCAGTTCCTTTCCACGCCGCCTTTACTTCCCCCACTCAAAGTCAGGTACCCATTATTGCTGGGTGGGCAGGAGGGGGCGAAAAAAATTCGTGTCTGAACCAAGACTCCAACCCAGACTTTGTGATTTGGAGACGAGCGCCCTATTTCTCTTTCCGTTTGTGTTTTTTTTTACACCTATTTTTCACTTACCGGTGTAAAATAAACAGAAAACTGAATAGAAATGAATGATCCACACAGTAAGCACAGAGTCTTAATAATAGATACTAGATAATAGCATTTTTGTGTAGTGCAAATTTCTACTCAGCAGCAGCTTTGTAATCTACATAACTACCCCAGCAGACTTGATAGCATTCTGAATCAATTTCAACTTCTTGGGAAGCATACTATGCAAACTGACATTTTATAGGCGCTAGAGCTTTAACATAATAATAATTATAATAGCATTTGTTTTAGCGCAATTCCCAGCTCAGCTGTAAGCTCTATTCGCTTTACAATCTATACTATTGCTCCAGCAGACCTGATAGCATTCTGAAACGATCTTAACTTGCTGGGAAGCACACAGTGCAAGCTGCCATTTTACAGGTGCTAAAACGCCGACCTGCTGACCAGTCTTATCATAGATGAGAAAGCTTTGCTAGAGTTGTGTAGATGTATGTCGTTCCTGTAGACAACGGAGTGATGCTGTCTGCCTGCTGAACAAAGGACTGGCTCTACACAAACATATTGTTATAAGAATATAAGAGAGATACAGGCAAACTTGCTCTGATGGCCACCTGTAGAAGACAGTCACCTGTCTAAGATTAAGACAATCACCTGTCTAAGATTAAGACAATCACCTGTCTAAGATTAAGACAATCACCTGTCTAAGATTAAGACTATCGCCTGTCTAAGATTAAGACAATCACCTTTAAAACAATCACCTGTCTAAGATTAAGACAATCACCTGTCTAAGATTAAGACAATCACCTGTCTAAGATTAAGACAATCACCTTTAAGACAATCACCTGTCTAAGATTAAGACAATCACCTTTAAGACAATCACCTGTCTAAGATTAAGACAATCACCTGTCTAAGATTAGGACAATCACCTTTAAGACAATCACCTGTCTAAGATTAAGACAATCACCTGTCTAAGATTAAGACAATCACCTTTAAGACTATCACCTGTCTAAGATTAAGACAATCGCCTGTCTAAGATTAAGACAATCACCTTTAAGACAATCACCTGTCTAAGATTAAGACAATCACCTTTAAGACTATCACCTGTCTAAGATTAAGACAATCACCTGTCTAAGATTAAGACAATCACCATTAAGACTATCACCTGTCTAAGATTAAGACAATCACCTGCTCTAATGGCCACCTGTATAAGACAATCACCTTTTCTATCAACCACCTGTATAAGACAATCACCTGTAAAAACGACCACCTGTATAAGACAATCACATGTAGAAATGACCACCTGTATAAGACAATCACCTGTACAAACGACTACCTGTATAAGACAATCACATGTAGAAATGACCACCTGTATAAGACAATCACCTGTACAAACGACTACCTGTATAAGACAATCACCTGTACAAACGACCACCTGTATAAGACAATCACCTGTACAAACGACCACCTGTATAAGACAATCACTTGTACAAACGACCACCTGTATAAGACAATCACCTGCTCTTTGTTTTTGTTTTTGTAAAGTGTTTTACGACGCTCGCAACTGCATAAGGTCATATGAGCGCGCAGGACACACCTAAAATTTTCAGTTGGTAGGAAATTTGGAATTTTGCACGGGTGGCGGCCGAAGCCTACTCTTATCAATTTTAGACCACCAAGGGATCTTTAACTTGCGCAACTTGCACACGGGCCCTCCAAGATTTTTTGCCCTTGTCCAAGAAGGCTAAGTATAGATCTTTCCCACCAGAAGATCAGGGGTGTGGCAGAAAGACAACAGTAAGGAGGAGCCAAGGAGTAGCAGTAGAAAGGCTGCAGAAAGAGTCAGGAGCCCCGAGGAGGGGGCAAAGGAGATGAGGGGGTGGGGGCAGAAAGTGGAAATGAAAGCAGACAACAGAACATTGCTAGAGAGCAGGAAAGGAGGTGAAAGGAGACAATTTTAGAGAAGAAAATTTTTCGGTCGCTACCCGGATTCGAACCCGGGACCTTTGAATGAGAGGCCAACACCTTAACCTCTAGGCCACGAGAGCCCCCTCACCTGCTCTGACGGCCGAATAAAAGGGAGATACTCAAAGTAAATGGAATAGGTTTTTGTGGGTTATGCCCCTTTGCCCAGCTATCTGTAGTTTCTTGTGCTAGGATGAGATTGGTGTGGATTATATTTCCACCGTCCAGGTCCAGAAACCCGTATGTCACATATGTCACGTTTTTCTAACAGCGATTTTTTTGCTTCCCCATGACCACAGATCTCTCTCGGTCACGATCTTTTCCTTGCGAAGATTGGACTGTCAGTCACTTATTTATTCTCCGATCAAAGATTCTTAATTGCAGAAAAGAATCCGTCCACTGTCAATAACTTATTTACACTTAGATCAAAGATTCTTAATTGTAAAGAATCCTTGGCCTGCGAATAACATATTTACACTCCAATCAAAGATTCTTTATTGTAGTAAAGTATCCTTGGACTGTCAATAACTTATTTACACTCCAATCAAAGATTCTTTATTGTAGTAAAGAATCCTTGGACTGTCAATAACTTATTTACACTCCAATCAAAGATTCTTTTTTGTAGTAAAGTATCCTTGGACTGTCAATAACTTATTTATACTTTGATCAAAGATTCTTAATTGTAAAGAATCCTTGGACTGCGAATAACTGATTTACACTCCAATCAAAGATTCTTTATTGTAGTAAAGTATCCTTGGACTGTGAATAACTGATTTACACTCCAATCAAAGATTCTTTTTTGTAGTAAAGTATCCTTGGACTGTGAATAACTGATTTACACTCCAATCAAAGATTCTTTATTGTAGTAAAGAATCCTTGGTCCGATCCTCACATTGAGGAGATAGTAGTAGTAGTAGTATAAGGTTTTACGGCGCTCGCAACTGCTAAGGTCATGTGAGCGCGCGTTGAGGAGATATGTGACGGAGAAAGATCTGTGGCCACAAAAAAGCAAAAAAAGTTGATTTTTGAACAACGTGGCATACCCAATTCTTGAACTGAACCGTTGACATATGCTTGCGAGTGGTGCGGGTGGGGTGGAGTGGGGGTGGG